ACATTAAAGTGCTGGGATTACAGGTGTGAGCCACCCGATCCAACAATCTCATCTCTTGAACCTCTTCATCCCCAGTCATAGAGATGCAAAATGTATACTTAAGATAAAAAACAATTATGCAACTTTGATTTAACCAACTAAGATAAACATAACTAAATATTTCTTGAGCTCTTCTGTAATACAGGACCTTCCATTATAACTTCATGTTCCGAAAGTACTTCCTGTCCAGGCTTTTTGTATCCATTTCAATGGCATCCCTTTAACAAAACAGCAGCAGCGGTTTTTGCCTCTGGCTTTATTGATTGATTGAGACAGAGTCTGGCTGTGTCACCCAGGCTGGAGAGCAATGGCGTGATCTCACTGTAATCTCTGCTTCCTGGGCTCAAACCAGCTTCCCACCTAAGCCTCCCAAGTAGCTGGGACTACAGGGGTGCCCCATTACACTTGGCTAATTTTTGTATTTTTTGTAGAGATGGAGTTTTGCTATGTTGCCCTGGCCATTCTTAAACTCCTGGGCTCAAGAGATCCATCTGCATCAGCCTCCCAAAGTGCTGGGATTACAGGCATGAGTCACTGCAACCAGTCTTGGCTTTATTTCTTATGTGTAAGACTGCATCAGAAATTTCTCATCTTTCTCACGATTAGCTTTACTTTCATTTCCTTTTTCCAACCTCTGGTTTCCTCTTCCTAAAATTGTCTCAGTTAAAAATGGCTCAGCCTGGGCAACGTGGTGAAACGCCACCTCTACAAAAAATAGAAAAATTAGCCAGGTGTGGTGAGGCACACCTATAGTCCCAGCCACTTAGGGGAGGCTGAAGTGGGAGGATCAGCTTGAGCCTGGGAGGTGGAGGCTGCAGTGAGCCCTGATTGCACTACTGTGCTCCAGCCACAAGAGCACGCCTAAAAAAAAAAAATTTTTTTAAATAAATAAATAAAGCTCAAGAACTACGTTCACACAAATCAAAATTCTAACAGCTGGAGAGATGATGTACTAACCAATTTGTAGTTTGGGAGGGGTTACAATATTTGCATGATTGTAGATTCTATATGTTATTTATCATTACAAACTTTTCTTCTCAATAAAATCTTTAGGGTGTTTTCTTCCTTTCTTCCCCCCTTTCTTTTCTCTCTCCTTTTTTCTTTTCTTTTTTTACAATGAAAAAATTTCATATTTGAATTTCATATATTTCACTCATTTCATATGATTTCATCATTTACAATGATATACTTTCATATTTGAATTTTTATAATTTCATATTTTTACAGACTTATAAAAAAATCTTCATTTGTTATTTATATAAATTAATATGCTTGCTTTTTCTTCAGATGTGGCCTTACACTATTTTCAGAATAACATTGGCTTATATATTTGTAAACTAATGAAGGACACAGCCCAATTATGGACTATTGCTGCTATTAATTTCCTTAAAATGAAAAAGGCTGTTTTTGTAATTAATATTTCAAAAGCTTTCTAGTGAGCACCATGTTATAATTTTACATGCTCCTAAATGACCAAAAATATTTCAAATACATATGCTAAATTACACAGACTATATACAAAGAAATAGCCAAATAAACTTTCCTTTTTAATACTGAAACGGAGTATCGCTGTGTTGCCCAGGCTGGTCTTGAATTCTTGAGCTCAAGCAATCCTCTTGCCTCAACTTCCCAAAGTGCTAGTATTATGAGTGTGAGCCATCACACTTGGCCAGCAAATGAACTGCAAAAGAATTTAATCTAGTCTTGAAAATTGAGCAACAGGGGATATCAAAGGCATTCTAGAGAAAAATGTCACCGAAAATAAGAATTCCCTTTCCAGCTTGCTTTTTTTGAGACGGAGCCTCCCTCTGTCATGTCGCCAAGGCTGGAGTGCAGTGTCATGATCTCAAATGACTGCAACCTCCACCTCCCAGGTTCAATTGATTCTCCTGCCTTAGCCTCCCAAGTAGCTGCAATTACAGATGCCTGCAACCACGCCCGGCTAATTTTTGTATTTTTAGTAGAGATGGGGTTTCACCATGTAGACCAGGCTGATGTCAAACTCCTGGCCTCAAGTGATCCACCTGCCTTGGCCTCCCAAAATGCTGGAATTACAGACATGAGCTACTGCACCTGGCCTGCTCTACTTTTTTTTCTTTAATGACCAGAAGAATATATCGAGCCTGCTCTTTAACCACAGACAAGCCACGTAGCCTCTTTGGGTTTACTTCTTTATCTAGAAAATGGGATTTTAAAAATTATTTGCAGCTCCAAAAGTTTTATGAATTTTATGAACTAAAAGTATCACAGAAAAAAAGTTTAAAAGGTTGAAATGTTTACTCTATAGACCTTTATCCATTTAGTCAAATTTAGATTAAGCTATTCTTGGCTCATTCCTGCAATCCCAGTACTTTGAGAGGCCAAGGCAGGCGGATCACGAGGTCAGGAATTCGAGAGCAGGATGACCAACATAGTGAAACTTCATCTCTACTAAAAATACAAAAATTAGCTGGGTGTGGTGGTGCACGCCTGTAATCCCAGCTACTCAGGAGGCTATGGGAAGAGAATCGCTTGAACCCGGGAGACAGAAGTTGCAATGAGCCGAGATTGTGACACTCCACTCCAGCCTGGGCGACAGAGCAACACTCCATCTCAAGAAAAAAAAAAAAAGATAAAAAGAATGATGTTTAGTATTAACTCCTTGAGGTTATGTAAATAGTTCTTGGAATATGAAGATAGTCACTTCTAAACCGTTTACTGAATCTAATCACGTTTAATTTCCTTTTATTCATCATAACTATTTAAATGACAGTTTTCCAAAAATAAGAGTATTTTCAACTTGTTGCCTCCAAGGAAGGCTAACAATAGGCAGGAATGATGAGCTACAGTAGATTTGACTAATTCAGATGCCTTCAGAGACCGAGGCAATATAATTAAACATATGAAGCAGCTTGATGTACAATAGATAATGGTAGGTCAGTGGCATCAGAAGAGTCCAGGCCTTGCCAAAAAACATTCTAATTAAAAAAAAAAAAAAACAGTTTTTAAACCACTGAGCTGGCCAAACAAAACGTCTTTATTAGCAGGCCATTAATCACCTTGGTTTATACTTGTTTTTTTGTTTCTGTTTTTGAGACAGGGTCTCACTCTGTCACCCCGGCTGAGTGCAGTGGTGCAATCAGGGTTTACTACAGCCTCTACCTCCTGGGTTCAAGTCAACTTTCCAATTAGCTGGGACTACAGCACCTACCACCAGGCTCAGCTAATTTTTAAATTTTTTTGTAGAGATGGAGTCTTGCTATGTTGCCCAGGCTGGTATCAAATTCCTGGACTCAAATGATTTACCACTGCCTCAGCCTCCCTAAGTGCTGGGATTACAGGCGTAAACTACAGCACTTGGCCATTTTTTTTTTTTAACATAAGCAATTTGTGGTTTTTCTTTTAGAAAAAATAAACATCTTTCTTTACGAGATCTATAGTACTTCAAAACTATTCCAGCTATCCAAGTACCTGGTTGAATTTAAAGAAAATATTTTAAAATAAAAAGTACTCTCATAATTTGAAAACAAAAACTGTAAAACTCTACTTTCATTACTTCTTTTAATTCAACATTCAACACATAAAAACTGGGTACTTACTACATGCTAAAGCATTGTCAGTATCCTTTAAGATAAGAGAGATACTGGTATACTGGTTTTGTATACTTATATAATTTTATTTACTACTGGAATAATAATTCTCTGCTTAAAAAACTTTTTAATCCAAAGATTATATATATATATATAATCTATATATATATTTATATTATATATAATATATATAATCTTATTATTATATATATATATTTACTACTGGAATAATAATTCTCTGCTTAAAAAACTTTTTAATCCAAAGATTATATATATATATAATCTATATATATATTTATATTATATATAATATATATAATCTATATAAATATTTATATTATATATAATATATATAATCTATATAATCTTATTATTATATATATAATTTATTCTACCTGGGAGAAAATGCTTAATCAAGAAAATTGCAATAAATAATAATGGGTTTAAAACAAAAACCACTATCAGTCACAATGTTGACTAATGTTTTTCAGCTCTAGATCTTTAGACTTCTGAGAAAATTTCTGTAATGTTCACACTTCTTAGGGAGTTTTAACTGTCATTCAGAGAGACTTATAGAGGACTCACTTATTAATTAGATAGAATAATAAGTGTGATTAGCTGAATTCTCTGGCATTTTTTCAAGCATTTTCCATTTGCAACTCAAGTAAATGGTTACTCTCAGCAATTCCACTTTTAGGTATATACCCATGAGAATTAAAACACAAAAACTGCCATGCAAATTTTCATAGCAGCATTATTTATAATAGCCAAAAAAGTAGAAATAAGTCAAATGCCCATAATTAATGAAAAGATAAACAAAATGTGGTATATCCATATATTTGCCATAAAAAGGAATAAAGTACTGACACATGATACAACATAGATGAACCTTGAAAACCTTAAGCTAAATGAAAGAGGCCAGACCAAAAAAAAAAAAAAGCCATATATTGTTTGGTTCTATTTGTATGAAATGTCCAGAACAGACAAATCCATACACATGAAAAGCAGATTAGTGTTTGCCAGGGGCTGGAGGAAGGGAAGAATGGGAAGTAAGTGCGAAAGGATTTAGGATTTCTTTTTGGGGAGATGAAAATATTCTGGAATTAAAAAGTGATGATGATTGTACTATTTTGTGAATATTACTAAAACCACTGAATTGTATATTTTAAGGGTAAACTTTATGGCATGTAAGTTATATCTCAATAAAGTAATATAGAATATGGCTATTATAACCTATTTATATTGATTTCATATTCTGCTAAAAGGTGATAAGACCCAGTATACGTACACACATATATGTGTATAAATCATCCTGAAAACTATTTTATAACCAAATACTTTGTTTCAAAACATCATTCTCACTATAGTTATAAAACAGAAAACAAAACTAAATAATTTTTTAAATGTAAATGTATTTTAAAAAATTAAAACACCTAAGAAATGCAATCTATACATATGAAAAAGTAAAATATTTATATGCATAACAAGTAGTTGCAACATTGTCCATAAGCAGCAGTTAGTGTTTATTTTCCCCATATTTTGGTTTAATACCATAGCGCAGTGGTAGTTCATTCTTTTTAGGGAAATTACATAAAGTACATATAGTATATTATGAGTAAGTTATAGAAGACTGTATCATTGGAAAATTAATTACAAGTAACAGCATTTCCTCTAAAAACACATTATTAAACAAATTAAACTAGCAGAGAACAAAATGAGCCTATAATTTATTCAGTCCAAGATATATAGTCAACTTGCATAAAATTACATATGGCATTTTAAAAAGTCTATTTCTAAAATATCAGTAATTCAGGCAATTGGGATTTCCACAGGAGAGAAATAACCATTAATTTCCTTTTTATGAAGAAAAGTCTGCCTTAAAAACATTGCAACAATGTTATTAAGAAATGCTAGAGTAAATAAAAGAAAAAAAAATGAAATGCTACAGTATACTTTAAAAATCAAAATGGTAAAACAAATGCATCAGAATATTCTTTTACCGATACCAGGCCTATAGCAGCATTTCAGAAGGTGATTTAAAACTAATAACTGACTTGGGTTTTTATTATCTTCTTGAAATACGTATTACATGTATAGTTTACTTAAGAATTTTTATTTCCATTATAAATGGAAACTTTTCATACTAATTATCTAAAGATATAAGAAATAAAGTAATTGGTAGTCTAGTGCTTTACTAGAACTATAGCTACTGACTCCACAAAAACAAATTTTACATATAAGCAAATTATTAAAAATAACTGAATTGGGAAAAATGAAATAAAATATAGTGAATGGTTTTCTCTTTATCTCTAACTATAAAAATCCCTTTTGCCTATTTATTTGACCCGTCTCTATTCATGCAATTTAATGAACCCTCAAAAGAATTTACACATCTTTATACAGAATTCACATCTACATCAGTAAACTGCAAGTCCTTCTATATTTTCAGTGCCTTATTGAAATATGGGTAACAAAGTTCTTCATTCTATGAGGCAGGAAGATGTTTCCTAAGCACTTCTTTGGATGAAGATGATATAGTATCTGGGAAGGACACCTCAAATTCTATTAGAAGGTCACCACGTTGGTCAGGATTTTTTGGAAATGGCAGCCCGTATCCAATAATTCTTCTTCTCATTCCAGGTTTCACAATATCATTTACTGACATAGGTATGTTTCTGCCATCCAGTGTTGGTACATTAATTGAGCAGCCACACAATGCCTAAAATAGACAAAATAAAATAAAATGAACACATTTCAAAACTAAAAAATCTAAGCACAAATATTGCCAGATGGTAAAGGGTAGTACCACTAAGGTAAAATTTTAACCTCCAAAAGAATAACAATAGTTACACAATTTTTTTCCTCATTAGAAAATTCCTTCAGGACATGCATCTTTAGATATGTTACCAAAAAAAAAAAAAAAAAAGAAGGAGAAGAAAAGAAGTAAAGGATATATTCCACATTGCCCTGGAATTACATGGTTATTTTGAAGCTGCTATTAATACATTCAAGATGCAGGAATTGGAATGGAAGAAGAGGGAGAAATTCAGGACTAGAAAGTACGTGATAGGAGCAACTACCTACTTCTCTGGAAAGTATCAGGACAATAAATACATTTGTTTTAGATAAAAAATATTTACTGAGCATTTACTATATATAATGCCACACATTCTGGCTAGATGCTGAGCCTTATAGAAACCATGAACACGGACCCCAGCTCAAGGAATGCACAAGGAACTCACAGAAACATACAAGCAAACTAGCCATTATAATATTGTATAGTGTAGAAACAGAGGTATATATGGAGGTCTTTTGTGAGAGAAAGAGCACCAACGTAGCCCCTTATATTCTGGGAGTAGAGGATACTTGAACTAAGCATTGGACCAGTAGCAGGCTATTAGGGCAGGGTGAGAAACAATAGAGTAGAGCTCAAGTATACAAGATAATAATAGAGCAAACATGGCCAGGTGCAGTGACTCACATCTATTATCCCAGCACTTTGAGAGGCAGAGGTGGGCGGATCACTTCAGGTCAAGAGTTCGAGACGAGCCTGGCCAAAAAGGTGGCCCCAGCTTTACTCAAAATACAAAAATTAGCTGGGCGGGCTGGGTGCAGTGGCTCAAGCCTGTAATCCCAGCACTTTGGGAGGCCGAGGCGGGTGGATCACGCAGTCAAGAGATCGAGACCATCCTGGTCAACATGGTGAAACCCTGTCTCTACTAAAAATACAAAAAATTAGCTGGGCATGGTGGCGCGTGCCTGTAGTCCCAGCTACTCGGGAGGCTGAGGCAGGGGAATTGCCTGAACCCAGGAGGTGGAGGTTGCAGTGAGCCGAGATCACGCCATTGCACTCCAGCCTGGGTAACAAGAGCGAAACTCCATCTCAAAAAAAAAAAAAAAAAAAAAATTAGCTGGGCATGGTGGTGGGCACCTATAATCCCAGCTACTCGAAAGCCTGAAGCAGGAGAATCACTTGAACCTGGGAGGTGGAGGGCTGCAGCAAGCCAAGATTGTGCCACTGGACTCCGGCACAGGTGACAGAGTGAGATTCCATCTCAAAAAATAATAACAAATATTATAATAGAGCAAACTTGGGGAAGTGGATATACATTTTATGGTTAAACATCAGATTTAAAATGACTTATTTTAAGCTGAAGAGTTTGGACTTTATGGTAGAGGCAATGTAGAGCAATTTAAGAATTTGAAGCAGGGAAGTGTTATGATCATATTTGGGGAGTTGCAATCCAATTTGAGAAACAGTGCAAACAGGCTGAGTGCAGTGGCTCATGCCTGTAATCCCAGCACTGTGGGAGGCTGAGGCAGGTGGATCACTTGAGGTCAGGAGTTGGAGACCAGCTTGGCCAACATGCTGAAACCCTGTCTCTACCAAAAATTAGCCAGGTGTGGTGGTGTGTGCCTGTAATCCCAGCTACTTGGGAGGCTGAGCCAGGAGAATCACTTGAACCCAGGGGTGGAGGTTGCAGTGAGCTGAGATCGTGCCAAGGTGGGTGACAGAGCAAGATTCCATCTCAAAAAAAAAAAAAAATAGTGCAAATAAGAACTCAAATAATAACTATATTAAAGCAGTACCATTATGATGTATAAATGTATACATTTCTATGCACTTATAAATGTATATATTCTTAATATAAATTTGTACAAATTTAGAGTGAATTATAAAATATTTTAATACCTTTTTTGTTATGCAATTATTACTCCATATTAACAACTTTAAAACAAATCCTTTATACAAGGACGAACGTGATGAGATTACCAATGCAGATCTCATAAACTGCATTTGTTTTTGTTTGTTTGTTTGTTTTTGAGATGAAGTCTCACTCTGTCGCCCAGGCTGGAGTGCAATGGCCCACTCTCCTCAGCTCACTGCAACCTCTGCCTCCTGGGTTCAAGTGATTCTCCTGCTTCAGCCTCCAAAGTAGCTGGGATTATAGGTGCGAGCCACCCTGCCCAGCTAATTTTTGTATTTTTAAGTAGAGACGGGGTTTCACCATGTTGGTCAGGCTGGTCTTGAAGCCCTGACCTCATGATCCCGCCGCCTAAGCCTCCCAAAGTGCTGGGATTACAGGCATGAGCCACCACACCCGGCTCATAAGCTGCATTTGTAAAAGCAGGGTCATATAGTACATAATTCAGTTAGCACTTCAAATTAACACTTTAATTATAAGTAATTAAAGTTAGAAAATATAATCACATCCAAAAACGAGGCATAATAGCAGTACTATCTTAGAGGATTGTTATAATAATATTTTTAATGTGTAATAGGCATTAAATAAATTAGCTATTATCTAGATACACTCCCTATGATCAATTACATAAATATTTGGTCTCAGAATTTTAGGTCCTACCAACTTACCTCTCGTAAACTAATTTTAGCAGTATAAATTATATTTGATCCATCTCTTTTAAATTTTGGATGATCTTTGTCTTTAATGATAAAAACAATGTCTGCTGGAATACTGTTTGGTGTTTCATCTCCTTCTCTTGGAAAAGTAATTTTGGTGCCTTCTTTCCACCCTTTTTTAATCTCAATGGTAAGAATTTTGTCCTCAGATCTGTAACTCCTTCCATCAGCATTTAGCCTTTTTCGAGAAATCTTCATCCGTTTGGTACAACCATTATATATCTCTTCAAGTGATACTCTAAGTTCATGAATAACTGGAGGATCTTGTTTGAGGCGGGATGGCCCCACAGAATTCCTGTCTCTTGGATATCCATTCATGCTGAAACCAAAGGCACTAAAAGGATCACCATCTATTTCCATTTCTTCAGAATCTCTACCACCACCCATTCGTCTTCCAAAGAAAATTTCAAAGGGGTTGGACCCTCCAAAAAATGCAGCAAATGTAGCATGAGGATCGCCATGAAAGGTGTACCGGAAAGTACCTCCTTGTCCATCAGTACCTCCAGCTCCTCCTTTCAACCCTAATTGAAGAGATAAGCATGATTAGAAAAAAGCTTGCAACTCTTGAAAGTCAAACTTTCAAAAATTGTATTGCTAATAAACTTCGGCTAACTTACATTAAAATTTATTAATATTGGTCAGAAATGCCATTTTAACTAAATATAGAACAGCTATAAAACTCTTGATGATTATATCCTAAGTTAAATTGTTAGTTTTAAAATTCTTCCTCCAAATCAGCATCTTTAATAATTTATTCCTGAATCTTTGTTCCTCAGGTAAGTAAGGAAAATAAAATAAGGCCAGGTACAGTGAGTCACGCCTGTAATCCCAGCACTTTGGGAGGCTGAGGCAGGCGGATCACCTGAAGTCAGAAGTTCAAGACCAGCCTGGTCTACATGATGAAACCTTGTCTCTACTAAATATACAAAAAATTAGCTGGGCATGGTGGCAGGCACCTATAATCCTAGCTACTCAGGGGGCTGAAGCAGGAGAATCGCTTCAACCCAGGAAGCGAAGGTTACAGTGAGCCAAGATCGTGCCACTGCACACCAGCCCAGTCAACAGTGCAAGACTCTGTCTCAAGAAAAAAAAGAAAAAGAAAAGAAAACTGGGAACTGCTTATCTTATAAACTACTGATCTGGAATGTTGAAGTATATAAATTATGTAAGTATCTACTTATAAATAATAAGTTTTTAAAAGATGTCAGTTGAAAGGTCTTCAATAATCAATACAAAGTACAGAACCTAAATCTTTAATTTGTATTACAATTGAACAATATATAAAATAGAAAATACATAAATATATTAATAAAATATATAGCAATATAAAATACCATATTCATACTGTTTATACATATAAACAAAAATACCATATTCATGCTGTTTTTATATATTTTATATGGAAATATATAAAAATATAATGTAATAAAAATCATATTCATACTAACTAGTTTTATTTCAGATCATTTTTTACTGTATGAGAATCAAAATAGGGCCAGATGCAGTGGCTCACGCCTGTAATCCCAGCATTTTGGGAGGCCAAGGTGGGCAGATTACTTGAAGTCAGGAGTTTGAGACCAGCCTGACCAACATGGTGAAACCCCGTCTCTACTAAAAATACAAAATTAGCCAGGCATGGTGGCACATGCCTGTAATCCCAGCTACCTGGGAAGCTGGGGCAGGAGAATCACTTGAACCTGGGAGGTGAAGGCTGCAGTGAGCCAAGATTGCACCGCTGCACTCCAGCCTGAGCAGCAGGAGCAAAACTCTGTCTCAGAATGAATGAATGAATGAATAAATAAATAAATAAATTAAATTAAATTAAATATAACTCTGTGGTAGAAAGTGAAAAAATTCTAATAACGAGGGCACTCTATGAAACTGTACTCTTAGACACTGAAATTATTATTCCTACCCTCAATACAAAAATTATTTATCTAGGCATATCACATCTTAGCATTAATTTCAATGCTTTTAAGAAGACTGAAATCAACAGCTGTAAACCTTGACATGTAAGGTCTTTGTATGGGTTACTTCTGTCTCTTGTGAACAACCCACCTCAGGCAACAATATAGTGATGTTTTGACCCTTTTCTTTCACACAACATTTTCCACTATGTATAAAAAGAAATGTTCTACTAAAACCCATAAAACAACAGTATAGTGATCTTTTAAGGGGTCAATACTAATAAGGATTTCTATCATTACAATATCAGCAGTTTCTGAGTGAGCATTAAGCGAATTCCTAACCAGGAAACAAGCAGAAAAGAATCTAAACATCATAAAATTACGAAAAATTCAACAGATTAAGCTAATGTTTCCTAACAGAGAGTGATCTGAAGGCAGGAAATCTATTCATTTTGTATTGCTCATGCATACAGGGCTGAAAATTGTAGGCATTCATGCTTAGTGAATGAAGGGAATGAACTAATTCCTAAAGTCCTTCTTAATCAAAACTTAAAAAGTTTGATTTGTCTTGAGTATCAGTACAGAGAAAAAGGCAGAAGCAAAAACAACGTAAAATATAATCATGTATATACATATAAGAGATATTTAACACTTTAAAATGCCATTAACACACAGCATACTTTAAAGAAACTTAGTTTTGCTTACGTCTTATTCTACATTTGGCTTCTTCCATTAAAAGTTATATATGTACTCTATTTCATCTAACAGAGTCTCAAGTCATATCTAAATTTTTATCTTCACCCATGAATAGAAATCTGGAGCAACCAAGAGAGACCTAATAATCTGAAAATTGTCAAAATATGTATTGAACAATATATCCAAATAGCAGTTAGGGAAATTCCTTGTAGAAACTGAATGACAAATATAAGCAGGACAAGAACTTTTCATATGCAGCTCACCCAAATTTCCCTTTTGTAAATTTTAGTAGTATAATTATAACTCCAAATGTTAAAAAGCCAATGGCAGATTTTTTTAAAGGACAGAATAATATGTAGCTCAAGGTCATGACCCAGGTGACTCAACCAATGCTTAAATTATTCAAATCATTTTATCCTTCATCTCATAGACTTAAGGGAGTATAATAATTTAACTGAGTTAAGTAAACTGGGTAAATTACCCTGCCCAATCTAACCTTTTATAAGACAAAATCTAAATACTTAACACCCATAATAAATTCATGAAAAGAAAGAATAACATTTTAATTCATTACATCATGGGTTTGGCTTTTCTCTAAAACCTCTCCCTCCTCAGCCAAAAAATGGTAATTTGGTCAGAATGACAAAATCCCTGAGAAGATTCATACAAAGTCTGAAGTAACTTACTAATCAAAGCTAATAAAAAAGCCTCCAATACAGCTTTGAGGTTTTCCTAGACACTATTAAAGTCATTAAACAGTCAACTATGGAGCTCAGACAAAGAATGAAGCTACACTAATGAATGAAAAAATTCTACCAAAATTCATGCCACTATACTATACTATACATTATTATGCAAGTATCACTTGCATTGTCTAGCACATAAAATTATAAGTAATGTCACATTAACTATATAGTCAGTTCCTAATCATGTAATTTCTAATGCTAATGGAAATGTTTAATATCCAGTTAGATTCCCTCTGCTATTCAAAATGTTTTCTAGATATCATCATCACCTTGTGTGATCAAAAAATGCACTACAGAATCAACATTTTCCTGTGCTTTAGCAGGACTATTACTTTACAACTAACCAATCAACGAGTTCGCAGTCCCAAACCAAATATATGTTTGGAATACTATCTACAACAGTGATTCCCACTAATTAGTTAAGGTTGACTCAAAGTTTCCAAAAGAAGAAACACTGCAGAAAAATTCAGATTGCAAAGAAAAAAATTGATAATGCTTTAATAACTCTTACTCCAAGGAGATCTAATATGTAAAAATCCAGATTTCTAGCAAGACCTCAGTTATAAAATAATGAGACGCTGAGATCCATACAATTTTAATTCACAAAAGTCAAACTGACTTACATGTTTTTAGAACAAATAATAAATTTTTTAAAATCTAGGTAACTAAATATATGTGAAGAAAAGAACTAGTATAAAGATTAATAAATACAAGTTTTATCATTTAAACACTACCTCTTAATATTTGAAATTACTGAATAAATCATAAAGAATAACAAAATAAGAAAAGCATAAAAAACGAAAAGTTAGAGAACTGGAATAAATGAAGATGTGTTATTGAAAATCTTTTCTTTCAAATCTCTTAATACAAATTTCGGTTGACATCCACTAAACCATTCAAGACTAAGCCTAAAACTCTGGGGGAGAGTGGTTCAGAATGCAGTTTTAAATTTCTGTAGTTCTGTGGTTTTTGTTTTCAAATGATTCAACTATAGAGAAATTTTATTTTTAAAAAGAGATTACATACATAAAATTAACCTATTGTACAAATACAATTCAATTGATTATAAATTGATAGAATTGTGTAACCATCATCACAATGCAGTTATAGAACATTTCCATCGTTCCAAAGAATTCTCTAGTTCTTATTTGTAGCTAATTCCCCGCTCCCACCTCAAGACTAGGCAAGAAAGATCTGCTTTCTTTTTCTACATACTGGCCTTTTCTAGACATTTCACACAAATAAAAATCATACAATATGTAGTCTTTCACATCTGGCTTCTTTCATTTAGCGTAATTTCTGAGGCTCATCCCTGTTGTAGGTGTTTCATAAATTGGTCCTTTTATTGCTAAATAGTTCCTCACTGGTGGTATATACCACATTTTGTTTAATTCACCAATTTATGGTGCTTTCAGATTGTTTCCAGCTTGGGGCTATTACAAATAACATTGCTATAAGCATCCAGGTACATATCTTTGTGTGGACATGTTTTTGTTTCCCTTTTATAGATTCCTAAAAGTAAATTTAAGTCATCTTTACTTTTTTTCTTTCCTTTGTTTTTTTTTTCTTTTTAGATATAGGGTCTTGCTATTTTGTAAAGGCTGGACTCAAACTCCTGGGCTCAAGCAATCCTTCAGCCTCAGCCTCCCTATTAGCTGAGACTAGAGGTACATATCACCTCAGCCAGCTAGCCAACTGTTTTTAAAACAAAGCACTTTAAATTGTGAATATTCAGGCTGGGCGCAGTGGCTAATGCTTGTAATCCCAGCACTTTGGGAAGCCAAGGTGGGCAGATCATGAGGTCAGGAATTTGAGACCAGCCTGGCCAACATGGTGAAACGCTGTTTCTACTAAAAATATAAAAATTAGCCAGGTGTGGTGGTGCCCACCTATAATCCCAGCTATTCAGAAGGCTGAGGCAGGAGAATTGCTTGAACCCGGGAAGCAGAGGTTGCAGTGAGCCGAGATTGCACCACTGCACTCCAGCCTGGGTGACAGAGCAAGACTTCATCTCAAAAAAAAAAAAAAAAAGAAAAAAGAAAAATGTGAATATTCAGAACTGGATTATTGGTTCTTTCATTCCTAAATACATAAATGTAACATATGCAACTTACATACTACTTTTCAGTTCATGGTTCCTTATTACCACCATCCCAGCCCTAAGTCCCAAGACTGTAATTGGCGTGGGGAGCAGGAAGAATACTAGGTAAATTAGTAGTGTTTCGTTACTACAGGAGAAACCTATAGAACCAGGTCTGGAGATCAATAAAAGGCAAAGAGAAAAAATGTTTTCCCCTACTTTCACAGTGTATCTAAATGGGATGTTTAATAGAATAAATGAGATACTCTGAATAAAAGGCAAACAAATATAATACTTTTCATGTGAAGGAAGAATAATTCTAAAAAATAATTCAAATAACTTTCATTCAATTGTATTTTCTTTTTTTTGTTTTTCAAGACAGGATCTCACTCTGACCCCCAGGGTAGAATGCAGTGGCACAATCTTGGCTCACTGCAACCTCTGCCTCCCGGGTTTTAGCGAGTCTCCTGCCTCAGCCTCCTGAGTAGCTGGGATTACAGGCATGCGCCACCACACCCAGCTAATTTTTGTATTTTTAGTAAAGGCAGGGTTTCACCATCTTGGCCAGGGTGGTCTCAAACTCCTGACCTCAAGTGATCCTCCTGCCTCGGCCTCCCAAAGTGCTGGGATTACAGGCATGAGCCACTGTGCCTGGCCCATTCAATTGTATTTTCAAGTAACTTATAAGTAGAGAATGATATTTCTGCATAACGTATTTCTATGTTTCAAAAAAAAATGCATTCTCTCCTCACTCTTTCTTCCTATCACTTGTATCAATTATGTAAGTTAAAAAAAATCCAGGGTATACAGATTCAGGGTGATTTAGTTTTTAAAAAAATTCACTCACTGTGTAATGACCAATAAAAATCAAATAAGAAAAATCACTCTAGAAAAGCACTTAAATTAAGAAGTAATGTTAAATTAAGAAAAACGTATCATTTGGTGACTTGAAAATTCTGAAGACAAATATCCTTACTAAACCCTGAATTTAATGGCTTAGCCACAAACTTGAGCTACCAGTGAATTGTTGCAAAATGTTTTAAATATGAAGCAGTGGATATCTGCTTTTTTCACGGGAATTAATAGTGTTACTCCATGTTTGTGAATTTCTTTACAAAATTACAAAATAACTCTTTCAGAAAGAGTAGTACATTATTGGTAGTATCTTAGAATCCTGCTTAGCTTTTGAGATAAACCAAATCATGATATTTTGGGTAGTATGGCCATAGGTATCATGCAGGATTGAACTGCTCAGTATTTGCTTTTTTCAGCATTTACTTTGTAAGAACCTGACACTATAGGTCCTCACTACACCAAAACCAGCAACATAAACTTCAATTTTGGGCAACTCACAGACCAAAAAGGCAAAAGAAAACAAGAAGAAAAAACCCTCTATTTACAATCACCCTGTTTGTCTACATTTAATTTGTTTAATTCAAAATAAGTGGTCACTGCTTGACTATATTTTAAGGCTACATTTCAAATTAGGAAAATTTGGTGTTAAATATAATAAAGGGATAATAAAAAACTTTTCATAGCTACAATGATTTAAAAGTTTGGGAGAAAACTTAATAACTTAGTCCTGATGTTAAAACTTGAAAATCCCCAAACCAGCACAAAGTAAAGTTTTTTGTGTTATTAATTAGCAATTTAAAAGTCTTACTCTATAGCCACATTTATATGGAAGTGATGTACAAACGTGATTTAAAATGCAGAATGAGAAAAGGATAATCTTAAGTTATCCTCCTTTACTGTGCTCACTAGTTTTTGATCTCACAATGCAAAAAACAAAAGTATGGCAGGGAGAGGAAAGGGAAGTTGTCATGCTTTTCTCAATACTTAGTACAATTTTATAACAAATAATGTTATTTAAACCTAAATCAATAATTATCCTAACTAGGTGGCCATTTTAGGTCAAAAATTGTATTTCTGAGATCTCATTTTCTTGGCACAAAATTATTGTTTACAATTAAGCTAAAAACTTGTTCTGGTATTTTATGACATCAGGAAAATTCTTTCCTCTCCAGGCAGAATGCCAAAAACAACTAGAAGCTAAATGCCTGCGCCTTCTGCTTCTGAGAGTCACAACTCCGTCTTGTTCAGTCTAAACTAGCCTTGCTAAGGAAGGAAAAAAAAACTACTTTTTGTTTTTGTGAATAAAATATAAACTATGAAGAACCTGAAATGCCGATCTTAACATTTTATATTACTGAAAACTCTTTATTGGTTCTGACAGAAAATTCATTAGAAAACAAAACAGGTTGCATAAGACTTTTGACACAATTTACTAATAGGTAAGGGAATTCAAGGTTTCTTTTAAAATATACAATGTAAGTCTAGTGATAAAATCTGTATAATCCAAAATGCTAAAATAAAAAAGGCAAACAAGGACATTTCATTCATAGCTCTACAATACTCATTCATTTGATCAGAGATGAAACCTTGTTATTATTCATTATTTGTTCTTCTACTTTTGATATGACTGAGAATCCAATTTAAGAATAACCATAGGCTGAGAGAGAGAGAGAGAGAGAGACAAAAAAAAAAAAAAAAAAAAAAAAAAAAGGCTGGGAGAGACAGAAAGAGAGCTGAAGAGACAGAAAGATATACAGAAAATACTTACCTTCCTCCCCAAACTGATCATATATTTCTCTCTTTTTAGGATCACTCAATACTTCATAAGCTTCTGCGACCTCTTTAAATTTTTCCTCTGCCTGAGGAGATTTGTTCTTGTCCGGATGAAATTTGAGGGCTTGTTTTCGGTAAGCCTTTTTAATATCTTCATCTGAAGCTCCTTTCTCAATTCCCAAAATGCAATAATAGTCTTTCCCCATTTCGAATGCCTTGAAATGAACTTAGTTTTCCCTTTGTAAAAGAAAACAGTGTCCCCAGTCTTAGCAACAGTCCGATTCTAAGAAAAATAAACCAAGCTGGGTATTTTAAAAGTTAAAGTAAATCGGCAATTCAGCTAGCTGCCTTAAGGCAGCAAGCAGACAGCGTCTCTGTATTCAATCCTTCCCCAACAGCTCACTTACAGATAAATATACACTACACAGGAGACAGCCTCCTTCTAGATCCTCCCATTTTCACTACGTGTCTCTGTACTTTCTAGAACAGCAAATGCTACAGGACGTCACTTTCCCAGCTGCCTCTAGTCAAAGTACTGAGCTATGTTTTCTCCTCCTCCACGATTAACTATTCATTTTCCGCCTGGCTCTACCATCTTTATATTTCCTAATTAAAGAGGCCAAGTGAATAAACATGCCAATATTTCAACACTGAATGTCACAACTACATATTTATGTACTCCATACTAGGTGAAAAAGCAACAAAAATCATCACAGTCATTAAACACTCTATGTTAAAGAAGTTAAAGTAAAATGCAAATAAAAGTATCGACGAATCCGTTTTAGATATTTTCATTTCAAGCTATTCACCTGTAAAGTATGGAATACTAAAATGTGGGTTGTTTGAACTGAAATTTTCAAGTAATTTACGTCATCTTCAAAATTCCTGGGGTCTATCAATTAGAAACGCCAGAAAGTTTGTGTACTAATTTCACATTCAGAGTATCCATAATAAAATTCAAATGCATTATTTTAAGATAAGTAAGGGACTTAAACATGATTTTAGCTAATTAGTTTTTTTCTAGGATACATGAGCTAATAGTTCTGGCAAACCAATGTTTATTTTTGAAATTTTAGTATCTGAATTTAGTTACTTTAACTAAAACTGAATGAGGCCCCCCTCACCCCCCCACTCCCCACCCGCAGCGGCCCCACAGGATCCCTATTTAAAGAATTTTGGTGCTGCAGGAAAGCCAATAGAAAGTATCAGGTTACAGACAATACATACTCATGTTCCTTACAAGAATTAACTGCAACTGGATCAACGTAAAATTTGGATATGTCACTTAAGGGGCACTAATACAATACATATTTTTTCTTTCAAAAACATATTTCCCTAATTATAAATATATATTCATTGTCGGAAATTTTGGAAAATACAGAAGAAAAAGTTATTAACAATCTCCCTATGATACCATTTTAGGTAATCCCTGTTAAATGTTACTGTATTTACTTCTAATCCTGTTTTCTATGAATACTCATGGTTATTTGCTGTAGTTTTATAATTTTTGTTAACAAAGTTAGATCATAGCATTTATATACCCTTTTGATACCTGCTTTTGAAAATATATTTTTTGTATTTATCAGACATTTTCAATGTATATAACTCATCTTTTATCTTCTATATAGTTTTCTCTAAGAAAATGTCAAAAGAATTGCACACAGTCCAAATATCTTGAGTCTGTAAATTTAAAAAAAAACCCTTTATGAGGAAAAGAAAATGTACATATATGTTTAGAATATAATAAAGGTAATAATCATGTGTTAACCTTTAAAGAAATGAGAACACCCACTCTCTATGCAAAGCAATGATGATTCAGCAATTCTTTATGAATGTTCATCATTGTACATTTTGACAGCTATGATTTTCTACTCCTCAAAATTCTCTACTTTAAAAACACCTTGACATTAGAAATGTATAACATCGATCTAGCCTACCTGTGGGTTACACAGGTTTGTCAGCTATTTAGCATTTTAGACTTACCAAGGAATACTCAATGTCAAAAAATACCTTTGAATCCAAAAACTTAGGGAAAATGCTAATATCCAGAGTCACCTTAAGACTCCCAGTTTTAAGAAGCATATTGCCAAACTGAAATCCAGTGCAAGGATCAGTATCATATACAGTAAAAACATAATAAAAATCACCTATTATAAAATTAATTTCCAAGGGAGTTCCTTTAAATATTCGTTACAAAAGGAACACTGACTTTACTATTTAACAACCAGAAATTGTTTGGGTGGGTAGTATTTGAAGAGAAGAACAACTTACTTGATTCAATCATTTTCAGAGACCTAGGAAATATTATCAAAACTTGACACAGTATATTATTTTGGAGAACTTGAAGACTGGGTCTTTCACATTTGTGAGAAATTATATTATATATTAACAGATGGAACGAAATCTGACTCCTTAGACATTGAAAAGGGTGAAAAGGGATTTTCAAATTTCTTCAAATATCACACACACACATAAGAATCCGTAAAGTTGAAAAGCAAGAATTCACCTCAACTTTGACATTTCAAGTTAATAAGAAAGCAAATATAGTTGTGATTTAAGACTATTAATAAAAATTTGGTTAGGTTATGGTAAAATGAGCAGATAACTGCACACATAGATTTGGAAAGCTTTGTAAATAATTCAAACATTTGGCAATAGTTATTAAAAGCCACTAAATATTACTTTAATAATTTTATAAATACCATACCTGGAAATTTATCCTTAGAAAATAATTATCCTTAGAAAGACAATAATTATTATATTTACAAATATACCCATTGCAAAGAGATGAAATAGGGTAAAGCATCAATATGGTCATTATTAAAAGTACATAGTACCTTGGAGATATTTTACTCTTATATTCACTTTTGCAGACTTGTCTTCTCTACTACTTACTCAGGGGTTGAAAATCCATTATACAATACAATCACTCTACATTAAATCTTGGTCATCCAGGCTGGGCGCTGTGGCTCACGCCTGTATTCCCAACACTTTTGGGAGGCCAAGTCGGGTGGATTGACTAAGGTCAGGAGTTTGAGACCAGCCTGACCAACATGGTGAAACCCCATCTCTACTAAAAATACAAAAACTAGCAGGACGTTGTGGCGGGTGCCTGTAATCTCAGATACTCAGGGGGCAGAGGGAGGAGGAGAATCCCTTGAACCCAGGAGGTGGAGGTTGCAGTGAGCGGAGATTGCTTCATTGCATTCCAGCCTGGGCAACAAGAGTGAAACTCCATCTAAAAAAAAAAAAGCGGGGCGCGGTAGATCACACTTGTAATCCCAGCACTTTGGGAGGCCGGGGCACATGGATCACGAAGTCAGGACCAGCCTGGCCAACCTTGTGAAACCCCGTCTCTACTAAAAATACAAAAATGGCTGGGCACGGTGGCTCACACCTGTAATCCCAGAACTTTGGGAAGCAGAGACGGGCAGATCACCTGAAGTCAGGAGTTCGAGATCACCCTGACCAACATGGTGAAAACACGTGTCTACTAAAAATACAAAGAAATTTAGCCGGCTGTGGCGGCGGGCGCCTCTAATCCCAGCTACTTGGGAGGCTCAGCAGAATTGCTTGAACCAGGAAGGCGGAGGTTGCAGTGAGCCGAGATCGTGCCATTGCACTCCAGCCTGCGCGACACAGCGAGACTCCGACCCCCCTCAAAAAAGCAAAAATACAAAAAATTAGCGGGCATCGGGGCGGGCATTTGCAGTCCCAGCTATTCGAGAGGCTAAGGCAGGAGAATCGCTTCAACCTGGGAGGCAGCGGTTACAGCGAGCCAAGATCGCGTCATCGCACTCCAGCCTGGTGACAGAGCAAGACTCCGTCTCAATAAATAAATAAATAAATAAAATATATTGGTCATCCAAGTTTCTATGTTATCCATGTGGTGATTTTGGGGAGGGGGTGACTGTCATTCCTGCGAATATTTATGACAAAACCCGGAAGAGTATGTAATAGGGAGAGTAACCGTAGCCTGTAGGGAAAATGGAACAGAGAAGCGCTGTGGTCAAAGCTTATTTAGTAAAAATAAAATAAATAAAAGCTTATTTATTTTACTTAATTTTTTTCCTTGTTCTTTTTTTTTTTTCTCATCCTCTCGGCTAGCTTGTTTTCCTAAAAGTTTACTTATTTTAAAAGCAAAAACAACAAAAAAAACTACATAGTCTAAAATATTTAGAAATCACATAAATTCCTGCTTACTCAATGTTATAGGTTATATGTATGCGTGACAGAAGTTTGAAGAAAACAAAAACTAGCTTGAGTTAGTAACTGACATACATATTTCCCCTCAAAATTAAGGGATGCTGAATTTTTAACAAAGATATAAAAATTCTCATTTGCTAAACAAAAAAAATTAGCATTTGCATTTTAATTTTTTTCTTTATTACTCAAACACTGGTAAGATTATTCCATGAAAACACAATTCTCTTTCCTTTACTAAAAGAAAATTATAGTCAGGTGAGGTGGCTCATGGCTGTAATCTCAGTACTTTGGGAGGCCAAGGCAGGAGGATCACTTGAGCTCAGGAGTTCAAAACCAGCCTGGGTAATATAATGAGACCTTATCGTTACTAAAAATTAATTTTTTTTAAAAATGGGAATTAAATAGTATTTTAACCCAGTAAAGTAAAATTATGACTTGTCATTTAATTTATGTCATCTTCTACTTGGACTTTATTCATATATAATAAAAAAGTTTTCTTTTTCCAACTCACAAATCATTTCTTACTTTTATTATAATAAAATAGTAAGGAAGAAGATAAAATGCCTTGAGTCTCAGAAGAAATTACACCAAAATTCAGATCATCACTTAAACGCTTGAGGACAAATGACTTCTCATATTTTGCCAACGCACCTGTGAAAAACCTTTTCTGGCAATATTTCTTAAATGGGTCACATTTAGTCCTAAAATTTCTTTTAACTTTTTTTCTTTTCTTTCCTTTTTTTTTTGTCCAAGACAGAGTCTTGCTCTGGAGTGCAGTGGCACAATCTCGGGTCACTGCAACCTCCGCCTCCTGGGTTCAAGCAATTCTCCTGTCTCAGCCTCCCAAGTAGCTGGTATTACAGGCACGTGCCACCATGCCCAGCTAATTTTTGCATTTTTAGTAGGGACGGGGTTTCACCATGTTGGCCAGGCCGGTTTCAAACTCCTGATATCAGGTGATTCACCCACCTCTGCTTCCCAAAGTGCTGGGATTACAGGCATGAGCCACTGCACCCAGTCTTTTTTCCCTCCTTTTTTGAGATGGGACTTGCTCTGTCACCCAGGGTGCAGTGCAGTAGCACAATCATAGTTCAATGCATCCTTGAACTCCTGGGCTCAAGTGATCCTCCCACTTCAGCCTCTCAAGTAGGTGGGACTACAGGCCAATGTGGCAACATCTGGCTTATTTTATTTTTTGTAGAGACCAGGTCTCACTATGTTGCCAAAGCTAGTCTCAAACTTTTGAGCTCAAGCAATCGTCCCAACATGACCTCCCAAGATGCTGGGATTACAGGCATAAACCAGGATGCTTAGCCCCTGACATTTCTTTTCTTTTCTTTTTTTTTTTTTGAGACAGTGTCTTGCTGTTGCCCAGGTTGAAGTGCAGTGGCATGATCTCGGCTCACTGCAACCTCCGCCTCCCAGGTTCAAGCGATTCTCCTGTCTCAAACTCCCCAGTAGCTAGGATTACACCACCACACCTGGCCAATTTTGTATTTTTAGTAGATACAGGGTTTCACCATGTTGGTCAGGCTGGTCTTTAACTCCTAACTCAAATGATCCACCCGCCTTGGCCTCTCAAAGTGCTGGGATTATAGGCATGAGCCACCATGCCTGGACCTAAAACTTCCTATATAGTGATTCATATTAGAAAATTATGACCTCCATTCCCCAGTACTTCCTGTCCAAGAATAAGCAAATAAACTGAGGCTCTTTTATACTCTGTTAATAGTGCTTTGGATATTTGAATAGATAACCTCAAAGTATGTAAAAGTGATTATATTTGTCAAGGTGACACCCAGGAATATTGATAATATAGTGGTTAAGAGTACAGATTTTAGAGCCAGTGTGCTTGGGTTAGAATCCTAGTAACATTACTTATAGCTGCAAAACCTTGGACTTAAATATCTCTGACCTCAGCTTTCTCATATGTCAAACAGAGTTAATTGCATTAACTGTTAAGTTGGTAACATTAATTTAAATGTAATTGGCACATAGTGAGGCTACTCTTATGATGATGATGATGATCTCATATGAACTTGAAAATTGTTTTCCCAGAAAAATTACTATATTGTATGTATATCAAAATGTTCTCATTTTCAAGCATACATACACACACTCCCCCCCACACACACAGCTGTCCAAGTGGATCTTTCTAAATATTCCAGTTAATATTTGCTACTCATTCATGTTAATTTTGTTAAAACTTAAAATCATTAAAACTTCCCAAAGGAAGTATTCATTATACTTCAATTCCAATATTTACATTCTTAAAGTATATATCTTTGATTTTGGACTCAGAAGATCTGCCCAGCCTTAGTATCTGTCAATGCCTCACATATCTCAGTCATACTAAATTACTTGAAAATTATCTAGGGGAGGCCAGGCATGGTGGCTCACGCCTGTAATTCCAGCACCTTGGGAGGCTGAGGTGGGCGGATCACCTGAGGTCAGGAGTTTGAAACCAGCCTGGCCAACATGGAGAAACCCCATCTCTAAAAAATAAAATAAATAAATAAATAAAAATAAAAATAAAAGAAACGAAAAAAAGAAAATTATCTAGGGGAAACCATTATTTATCAATTCCTCTTAGTGGGCTAGCATAAAAGAATAAAAACTTAAGAATCTGAATACTTGGGTTTCTAATCTCAGCTCTCCCACTTAACAGGTAATTTAGATAAATCACATTCTCTGAATACCTAACTCACAAAGATTATTGTGAGAGTCAGATGAGATAATACATGTGAAAGCACTATAATTTATATAACATCTACAGAAAAATTATTTCCAGTATCTTAAGCTATATAAACTTTTGCTACCATTTGGATGTGTATTGACAAAGAGTCTCCTTTGATTCAGGAAGTTTAACTTGGCATAAAGCATTAAAGAACTACCAGATTCACCCCCAAAGGACTTTGGCACCCCCCAAGATCATGCCTCTTGCCAAGTTCCCTTTTCAGACCTTTATCTCTGAATTTTAGTATCTTCTCACACAGTGTTACAAAAAAGCAAACAATTAAAGAAAAAACAACCTGTTCTATGCCTTCCCCATAATAACACTTATGTAATATTTTATAATTTATAAAATACTTCCTTATGCTTTCTCACATGTAATCTATTTATATGCACATACACCTGATAGTCAAGCGGAACAATTTCAAAGAGCTTTTCTATAGCTACAATCTAATAATGAGCTAAGATATTCTTGACAATACTTAACATACACTGTTTCAATATTAACATAAAACTAGAGGTTACTAGGCTGTATCTATCCTAATATTTCGCCTTTCTTTAAGATAATATCTAAATAGTTATATAAAATCAAATTATTGGTCATTTAATAATGGACTATATCTTATCTCTACATATTATACTTTCCTAAAAAACTTGTAAGCACTACAAGGCATTATTACCATAGATCATAGATTGCTGTAGAGCTAATCTTGATATAAGTTTGGAACTCAGACCCCAAATTCTTATTCCTGTGAAAAGGTTCCAGAGAATAATAGTTACAATATCTATTAATCTTGTGATGGTCACAAATGCTACTTTGTCTTTAGGGGAAAAATAAGGAAATTTCTATTTATCTGTTGTGTATATGTGTTGCCAAGACACAGACCCCCAACATCTATTTATTTAGAGACAGTATCTCCCTCTGTCACCCAGGCTGAAGTGCAGTAGTACCATCTCAGCTCACTGCAGCCTTGAACTCAAGCGATTCTCCCCATCTCAGTCCACAGAGAAGCTGGGACAACAGACATGTGCCACCACACCCAGCTAATTTTTCAGTTTTTAGTAAACAGGGTTTTGCTATGTTGCCCAGGCTTGTCTAGAACTCCTGGGCTGAAGCAATCCACCCACCATGACCTCTCAAAGTGTTGGGATTACAGGTGTGAGCCATTGCACTCAGCTGAAAAATTTTAAAGAGACTCACTTGTTACCTCATCTACGTTACAAGATGAAAGACGTAAACTTAAGGTAAGTGTCTTTAAGACATTAAGCCCTATCCATTTAAGGTTAAATTGTTCTAAAAATCCTATTCCCCCATGTCTTACCTATAAATGTCCTTTTTAAGGCAAAGACAGTAGTTTGAATTCATTATATTTGGAATTTGTCAATAGTATATGACTGTCCATTTTATAATATTTGATGGGTACACAAACTGTTTACAAATGTGGCTAACATAGTCCATACTTCCCATGAAAAAAGTATTTCAGTCACTCAGCAAATATTTATGGAGTGCTTTTTTTGTGTCACACTATTTTAGGTGTTGTTAACTAAACAGACAATATCCTTGCTCTCATTCAACTCATATTCCAGTGGGGGAGGACAAACAATAAAAAGTTAATAATGAAATGAGATAGTTTTAAGAGCTTTAACGATAGTAAAACAGAGGCTGGTGCAGTGGCTCATGCCTATAATCCTAGCACTTTGGAAGGCCAAGGACCACAAATCACTTGAGGCCAGGAGTTCAAGACTGGCCAACATGGTGAAACCCCATTTCTACAGAAAATACAAAAATTAGCTGAGCACATACCTGTGGTCCTAGCTACTCAGGAGACTAAGGTTGGGCCTGGGAGGTGGAGATTGCAGTGAGCCAGAATCACACCACTGTATTCCAACCTGGATGACAGAGGGAGACTCTGTCTCAAAAAAAAAAAAAAAAAAGTTAATTATCATCCTCAACTTGGGCTGGAGTGGTGGGGATAGAAAAGGCTTCAGAAGAGAAAAATGTGAGAAAAGTAATTAAAGACTGATAGATTTTGAAAGAGAAAAAGGGAGAATTTGTGATTAGAATCAGGAACACAAAGCCAAGAAGCAAAAGAGTATAATAAAATCTATCAGATACAGCAAAAAGACTGGTGAGATCAATGCATGCGAATTAGGAAGGCTCACCCTAGGGAGCTGGCAGAAAGTAAATTACGGTCAGATTGCTGAAAGTTTTTGTTTGTTTGTTTATTATTTTTGAGACGGAGGTTTTCCTCTTCTTGCTCAGGCTGGAGTGCAATGGCACGATCTCGGCTCACTGCAACCTCTGCCTCCAGATTCAAGTGATTCTCCTGCCTCAGCCTCCCGAGTAGCTGGGATTACAGGCATGCGCCACCACGCCCAGCTAATTTTGTATTTTTAGTAGATGCAGGGGTTTCTCCATGTTGGTCAGGCTGGTCTCAAACTCCCAACTTCAGAGGCTCCACCCACCTTGGCCTCCCAAAGTGCTGGGATTACAGGTGTGAGCCACTGTACCTGGCCCAAAGTTACTATTTTTTGAGACAAGGTTTCACTCTATCACCCAGGTTGGAGTGCAATGGCATTGCCACATATCACTGCAGCCACGATCTTCTGGGCTCAGGAGATTCTCCTGCCTCAGCCTCCCAAATAACTGGGATCACAGGCTCATACCACATATGGCTTTTTTTTTTTTGGCAGAGGTTCTCACTATGTTTCCCAGGCTGGTCTTGAACTCCTGGGCTCAAGCAATCCTCCTGCCTCAGTTCATGTTGGGAATACAGGCATGAACAAATGCAGCTGAAAGTTTTTAATGTCATACTTCATGACTGCTCTTTCATGTACTTCAAAAAGTGCTAATTTAATAGTTTGATTTTGGGGAAAAAAATTACTTGAAGAGGTTGCTTCATTTCTTACATGTCCATTTATTTCCAAACCAGTGAAATTGCTTTTCTGGTTGTCAGTAAAGGGTTCTTAACAAAGTTTCATTAATAAGTTGTAAGCTTCCTGATTAGGTGTGGTGGCTCACGCCTGTGGTTCTAGCTAAGGCAGGAGTATCACTTGAGCCCAGGAGATCAAGGTTGCAGTGAGCCATGATTGCACTCCACCCAGGTGACAGAGGGCGATCCTGCCTCAAATAATAATAATTTCTAAGCCTCCAAGAGCACTGGCATAAGGTGGCAAATTAATTTAAAATGGCTGGTAGGAGGAACAACTTTAGTCATAATTTTCTGTGGCTATTGTCTGTATCATCAAAATTTCCCAGTGTTTTATCACTATAGTAATATTAGTAATTCCCAAAGTTTTCAAATTTTAATACTGTGTCATGGCTTGGTTTTATAATACTTTCCCTGAATGAAGCGCTATAATATACACATTTAATTTTTTTTGTCTAGTGGTCTTTAAAACAAGATTTTTAAATCAAATTCAAAAAATTTAAAAGTACATGCCTTTCAAAAAACAATATAAAATAAAACCTTAAATTTATAAAAATTACTAGATTTGGAGACACTCAAGGATCAGATATATTTTATACTTAAAAAAATAAATCAGCCAGGTGCAGTAGCTCACACCTGTAATCCCAGCACTTTAGAAGGGTGAGGTGAGAAGATCACTTAAGCCAAGGAGTTTGAGACTAGCCTGGGCAACAAAGTGAGACCTCAATCCCTACAAAAAATTTAAAAACCAGCCAGGCATGGTGGTGTGTGTCTGCAGTCCCAGCTACTCGGGAGGCTGATGCAGGGGGATGACTTGAACCCAGGGGGTTCAAGGCTGCACGTGAGCTGTGATCATGCTGCTGTATTCAAACCTGAGTGACAAAGTGAGAGTATCCAAAAAAAAAAAAATTATATCATTTCTTCTCTTGAGGAGTGTAGAACTAACTTATTCTAACTGGGATGAATAAAATATTCAACTAACAACTTTTATAAAAAGCCCTTAAAAGCTTGCTAATGACTAGTGAATGTACAGTAAACTAATGTACTTTCCTGGCATTTTGAAATCATTTAAAATAAAGTGTTCTTTTTTGGTTGTTGTTTTTTTGAGATGGAGTCTTGCTCTGTTGTTGCTCAGGCTGGAGTGTAACAGCACAGTCTAGGCTCACTGCAACCTCCGCCTCCTGGGTTCAAGTGATTCTCCTGTTTCAGCCTCTGGAATAGCTGGGATTACAGGTGTGCACCACCACACCTGGCAAATTTAAAATAAAGTGTTCTTTACACTAATTTTAAACACTGAGTTAGGCCCAGGGTGGTGGCTCACAACTGTAATCCCAGCACTTTAGGAGGCCAAAGCTAAAGGATCACGTGAGTCTAGGTGTTCAAGACCAGCTGAGCAACATAGTTAAGGCCTCGTATCTACAAAAAATAAAACAAATTAGACAAGTGTGGTGGCATGCACCTGTACTCCTAGCTACCTCGGAGGCCGAGACAGGAGGATCACTTGAGTCCAGGGAGTTGAGGCTGCAATGAGCTGTGATCATGATGCCACTACCCTTCAAGCTGGGCAACAGAGCAAGACAGTCTCGAAAACAAAAAAACAAAACCAAAAATACTGTATTAGCCAAAAAATTAAAAAATAGCTACAGAATTTATAGATCATTTTAAAAGCCTTGATAAGCTAATATTAATTAATATTGCATTATAAAACTTTGCCTGTGTTGAAAGATCACACTATTTAGACCAGAGCTGTACAACAGAAATATAAAGCAAGCAACAAATGCTGGCCACATTTCTAGAACCCACATTTTTTAAAAAGTGAAAAGAAACATTTTTTTTTTTTTTTGAGATGGAGGTTTGCTCTTGTTGCCCAGGCTGGAGTGCAATGGCATGATCTCTACTAAACCCAGTCTCTACTAAAAATAAATGTGAAATTAATTTTAATAATGTATTTTATTTAACCTAGTAAATCCAAAATATTATCATTGCAGCATATAATCAAATACAAATTATCAATAATACTTTACATTATTTATTTTTGGTACTAAGTATTTGAAATACAGTATGTGGTTTCTTTTTTGAGACGGAGTTTGGCTGTTGTTACCCAGACTGGGGTGCAATGGCACAATCTCGGCTCACCGCAACCTCCACCTCCTGGTTCAAGCAATTCTCCTGCCTCAGTCTCCCGAGTAGCTGGGACTACAGGTGTGCACCACCATGCCCAGCTAATTTTTGTTTTTTGGTTTTTTTTTTGAGATGGAGTTTCGCTCGTTACCCAGGCTGGAGTGCAATGGCGCGATCTTGGCTCACTGCAACCTCCCCCTCCTGGGTTCAGGCAATTCTCCTGCCTCAGCCTCCTGAGTAGCTGAGATGATGGGCACACTCCACCATGTCCAGCTAATTTTTTGTGTTTTTAGTAGAGACGGGGTTTCACCTTGTTGACCAGGATGGTCTTGATCTCTTGACCTCGTGATCCACCTGCCTCGGCCTCCCTAAGTGCTGGGATTATAGGCTTGAGCCACTGCGCCCGGCCTACAGTATGTGTTTTACACTTCAACCTCAATTCAGATAGCTACATTTCAGTAGCTCAACAGCCTCATGTGGCTAGTAGCTACTGTGTTGGGCAGTGCAGATCTAGTGATTCCTTATAGTCAGTAGCGCTATGAGCCAATTTTTCAGAAACCTCAGCCTATGAACCTCATCCCAACTATATCACACATAAATACCTCTCACATGCACACTTAAGGTAAATAAAGTCTTAACAAGTGAACTCTAAAAAGAAGTTCATTTTTACTTATAAAATAGTATTACATTGTTCATCTACATAAAAGATATGAGGATTTTTCAAAATAATACTTTACACTTAAGGTAGTAGGAATGGATTTAAACATGCTCAGTTGACATATACTTTCATAACGTCTAACTGCAAAAGCAACACTAGGAAATGAGGAATCTATGTGATTTTCACTTTTATCTTTTCTAAAATGTCTCTTCTCACACTCTTCTTATATGTGGCCTGAGTCATCATCTTAACTGGCTCATTAGAAAAAGGAGAGTAGTTAAGGAGTACAGAGAAAAAAAAATGTCTGTAGCCCAAGAAATAAGACAGGAGGAGAGGATATGCAGCTGTTTCACTGAACTATTAGGCTCTTAGCCAAAACTGCAACAAACTGATTATTTAGCAAGTTTGTTTAGCTCTCTAATTGTTTACAATTCTCAAGTAACTTCTTTCTTTTCTTTTTTTTTTTTTTTTGAGACAGTCTTGCTCTGTCACCTAGGCTAGAGTGCAGTGGCTTGATTATGGCTCACTGCAGTCTCAACCTCCAGGGCTCAAGCAATCCTCCCACCTCAGCCTCCCAAGTAGCTGGGACTACAGGCATATGCCACTATGCCTAGATTTTTTTTTTTTTTTTTTTTTTGGTAGAGATAGGGTCTCCCTATTTTGGTCAGGCTAGTCTTGAACTCCTGGTTTCAAGCTATCTTCCCACCTCAGCCTTCCAAAGCTCTAGGATTACAAGTGTGAGCCACTGTGCCTGGCCTCTCAAATGACTTAACTTAAATCAATACACAACTTTAACTATGAATTGTCTTTATTATATATTTTATCCATTAAGACATAATCATCAAACAACTGCTACCATGGAGACTTAACTATGATTCAAGGACTTTAACGATGGCTACCAAATATAAGTATTAAAACATTTGTAAAAACAAGCCAACATGTCCTATAGAATTTACCAACTACTATAAAACTTGGCCATTGACTATCTAAATCCAAATGAATGAACCTGAACTATTATAATTGTCTAAAGAAGGACATTTATAGTAAGAGAAAAAAATTAGGATTTCTAAAATAATTTAACTTAAATGGATGGGTTTTAATGTTTATTAGTATTTCAAAATATAAGCTTTTTATTATCTAGGTCAAACCAGTATTATCAAGCCAACCACTACTAAGACCTCACTGTGCTATACTCTTATAT